TGATGGGAGAGGTGGGGCGGTCGAGAAGGGAAATCAGGAGTGGCAATGAGAGGTGAGGGGTCAGGAGAGGCAGCCATGAGGAATAAGGGGAGATTGTGAGGGGAGAGCAGGGGCAGCCATCAGGGGTGAGGGGACAGGAGAAGCAGCCATGAGGGATGAGGGGAGATTGTGAGGGGATAGGAGGGGTGGCCATGAGAGGTGAGGGGTGACTGTGAGGGAAGAGGTGGGGCGGTCATGAAGGAAGTTCGTGATGGGACAGGGGGGATGGCCGTAAGGGAGAATCATGAGGTGAGATTAGGGGCAGCCATGGACCATAAGGAGTGGCCATGAGTGGAGATCTTGAGGGGAGATGAGGGGTGGCCATGAGGGTTAGGGATGGCAGCTACACAGTGTAGGGCCACTGTGAGTGGGCAGATGAGGGGTGGATGTGACAGGAGATCATGAGGGGTAGCCATGGGGGGAGATCACTTTGCCCTTAGTGGCATGGGTTAGTGATGGGCTTGACAGTCCTGGGCTTGGTGACCTTAAAGGTCTTTTTCAAGTTGATTCTATGTTTCTGTGATTCTAATGTGACAATTTTTGTATAGTAGTGCAGTGTGCTGCTCTTAATGTTTTCAATAGATCTTTTCAGTGTAGCCTTGGATGTGGTGCAATGGACCAGATCCATTGCTCTGTCCCTCCTCTGAGACTCAGTGAAGCTTGAGAGAGTAAATCACAAGGGTCCTCATGGGTAAATCCCAGGAAAGCAAGAGGAGGCAACACCATGACCTGGTTCTCACAGCTGGAGAAACCTTTCAGGTTAATTCCCTGATGCTGCCTGTGGGATGTATGCTGGAGAGATCTAAATTTGGGGGCCATCTGCTTTACCGTGGAGAGATACCCATGCAGGACCGCCAGTGGCACCAAATTGGAGCAGCAGATGTAGGTGAATCTAGGTGTGCTTGCATTTGGCATGCAACAGTGCTCTTGTGTCTTCTGGAAGGTTTTCAGCAGTCACGTATCTGTCTCTCTGGTCTCTCAAGGCTTGTCTCCTACCCAGTGATCTTCTCAAGTTGAATGAGCAAAATGGTTAGTTCTCAGCACAGTGTGTTTATACACATAGATTATTGAATAACTGTGACAGCTTTGCGGGGTTTCGTGCTGCCCAGTAGTCTGAGTAGATGCTTTGTGTTGTCTTCCTGAATGCAATTTGTAACAATAATGTTTGTCTCTTACTGTGTTTCTGGAAGCAGTTTGCCTACTTTCCCTTTCCTTTCTCTTTCTACTAGGACATCCAGAGAGCGCTCTGCCCTGCACACTACCAGTTGTCTTCTTGTTTGCCTTCTTATGCTGCCTGTATTCCCATGTTTTGGAAACAGATTTGTGTAAGGTTACTTTAATATAGAGACTGGAAGTCATTTATGAGCTATACCAGTGAGAATCTTGGGCAGCTTTTCCATGTGAGTCTCATGCTAAAATCCAGACTCCCAAATGTAAAATTCCCTAAGCCGCTCGAGTCATTTGATTCATTTCCTCTGTATCTTCAATTTCAAAGCCATTTAGGAAGATCATTTGCACAAACATAAAAGTTCTCTTTAACTAAAGTCAACCAATGTGTTTTTTCAATGAGCTGGAGCTCGTAAGGAACATTCAAACATTAACTGTGTAAAGAAGGCAATTAGTGTTTGAATAATATATTGAAAATTAGCCCAAGGCGTACTGGAAAAATGCATGTTTTACCCATGTGTATTTTTGATCCAGTTCCATAGTTTATATTAGATCTGGATGTAGATGCTTCTAAAGGCTATCAAATTAATTCAAACTATGGGAAAAGTTGTGATTGTCCATAAAACGTTTCTTTTAAACTGTAATGTAGTTGGTACATTTAATCACTCAAAGGAAAGCCTTTTCTACTGCTGTAGTATGTCAAGGAAGCTTATCTGCGTATAAACAGCAAAATGAGACCTCTCTCGTGTTACAGGGCTTCAACTTTTTGTAGTTTAAAAGTTGAACATTTCTAAAAATGTACTAATGATGTCATTCTGATAAACAAGATACCCCTCTCACCCTGTCATGGAGTGATACTTTCCATAGGTTTTAAAGCTGTCATAAGAGTAGGAAAAAAGCTGTCATAGTCATAGGAATCAGTGGAAAACTTTTATTTTAATAACTGCTGTGGGGGCCGATTGCAGGGAGCAACCTCAGGTTATCTGTCTTAAAGATTGTGCATCCATTATCATGAGTGTTATGCCCACAGTTTGATAGGAATTACGGTCAAGAGAAGGACCATTTTCCTGAAGGGGGAGAAACAGGAATTGATGCAACCGTGGATAAAGTACCAGTAAAAACGTGCTTTCTGCAGTTGTTTAAGAATTTCTTATTTGTATCAGTTATTGTGGTGTATATAGAGCAAAACCTTTCAGGAAGCCTAGCTGAAGCTTTTGTCTGTTCCTACAAGAGAATTCACTAGAGTAGAAGTCAATGTGGGGTCTTAGTTGCAGAAGTGTAACAGCTTGCTAGAAGAGAGCATATGGTTTTGGTAATAGGCTAATAAGAGCAATTAACCTTACAGTGCACTTTTTTGTTGGTCTCAGTTGTTTATAAACTAGGTAATAAAGATATTTTAACATCCTATAGCTTTATAGGAGATTAGTCAAATCAGGCTGTATTTTTCAAGTTGATGTCTAATGTCCTCAGGTGATACTGTAAGGGATAGAAACATAAAACTAGAAGAGAACAAAATGTTCAGAGTACTATGTGGTGTGTCCAACCAACGAATATAATCACAAATACATAAAGAAATAAAAACATGTTAAAGGTTTTCATTAGAATGAGGACTGTTTTCACAGAATGCAGTCACAGATCTGCCATTCCTCTTGTTCTTGTCACCTTGCACAGATTAAAATGTAAACTGTTTCTAGGTTTATTTAACATAAAAACTGATTTTAAACTTACCTTCTTCTTCGTGTGTGCAAATAGACTGCATTTCTCATAGCATCTTCCATGTAGTTGTTCAGAAGGATGAACTTCATAAACGAATGGGTTTCTTTCAACAACAAGCACTGTCATTATCTTTGGGGCTGTTTTTTGAAGGACTTAATAGTCTTGCTGCATTACTTCCTGCAGAAGTTCCAGTTTCTCAGTTAGGAGCTACTGTGTTTGCTTGCCCCAGAAACTGCACCCACAAGAAAAGCCCTTTTTACTTTATTCTCTGTCAGCTCCTTGTTACAGGTGGTGTATTTTGACAGTTGTTCCATTGGGTATCTTGCTGCAAAGCCAAGTGACACCAAGGGATGAATGATCTTTCTTTTGCACGTACTTTGGTTTCTAGGTTGGTGGTGATGGGAGAATGACGTTTTCCCCATCATAATATTTTTTTATTTGGTTCTGTAACTTTTGGCAGTTCAGCTTTTGGGCTCCTGCTTTTGTGCAATATTTGTTTTGCAAACTTTTGCCCACTTACTGCAATGTCCCAAAAGAGACTTCTAAATCAGTTCATTTGATTATGATATACTGTGTTTATTAGTGTTTTGTTTATCCTTCCTGTTGTTTGTCTGAGTTTTACCTAATGTACTGGTTACAGACATTTTTATTGAATTTAGCTGGTCATAACCCTAATGACTTGTTGCTGCTTTTTCTTTATTGTGAGTTTGAAAGTCAAGACAATAATTATTTTCTTTGGGTTTTCTGCAGAGACTTCCATCAAACCCTTCTGCACTAATTTGAGGTCTGGTTTTCCCTCTTTCATTGAATTGACTGAAAAATGTATTTGCTGGTGCAGCATTCACCAAATTTGAAGACTTCTGCTTTATTACACTTGGCAGCATTTAAACAATACTAATTCTTATACCCAGCTGGCTTTTCAGTTGATTTCTGTGCTCTCTGTTGCTGTGTAAAACAAGCTGGAACATTAAAGGCATCATGCATGCTACCCTCTGGAGACTTGTTTTTTAGAGAAAAGTCAAATAACTGTAAAATCTTCTGGTTTTTCTCCTCATAGGTTTCCTTCTGGCTCTTTAAATGATATTTCAGTGTACTCACAGATTTTGTACATATTAAGATGCTAATTTTCAAGCACATTCCTGTAAAAAAAGCAGTCTTTATAGTGAGATGTGCTAGCTTGATCTTTGTTTATAGAAATAAAGGTCTCTTTCATTACCTAAAACGGATTATACCAGCTTTAAATCATATTCAAGATGGACGTAAATGTGACATTTTAACCCAGCTAAAACTGCGTATTTCAAATGTGTTCACTAAATAGTCCAAGAATGTCTGCAGATGTTAATCATCTGGTTTATCCGCTCAGTTTAACAGTATTGAAGCAGCCTGAAGTTTTGAGCTACATGTTAGAATTCCTGGAGAGAGCGAGACCCAAAAAGCATTTTCCTGTCCTGTAAACACCAATATTGAAGTCACACTTCTGGACAAATCCCAGCCTTAAAACATATGCTCCTGAAGAATGAATTTTCTCTGCTCTAGAACAGGCATCTGTGATGGGCTTCAGCCTTTGTTGAGGTGACTGTGTAGCATGAATCTCTCTTTCCAGTCCTTTAGAGGCTGCTTAATTTCGTGTCAATTTATTGCGAAATACCAGCTTACTGGAACCCAAACTTGATTCCTCGTCCCCTCCATGTCCCTGCCTACTCAGGTAGCCCTGCAGCTGGGCTAAGGATTTGGTTGTTGTGGATCAAATGAGGGCAGTGACCCCTCACAAAGGACTGGTCAAAGCTGAGGAGTGGGAACTGATTTTTAACTCCAAGAAATCAGTGCTTTCTGATGAAAATGTATAACATTTTTGGCCATGATGTCTTCCTATGATCTTTTCCTTTCCTGCGCCGAAGCCAGGTAGCCATCTGTTGTGTTCTTTTTGCCACTCACACAACATGCATGCTAGTATCCGTTTCACAGGGTGTCATAAACTCTATGTTGCGCTTACAAAGTTACATGGAGTCATTGCAGGAAATCTTTTATTAATATTAATGTTTCAGTCATGGTGTTTAATGTATTTTTTTGTACTACAGCTGGTCTGAAAACCCAGAAGAATGGAAGTTTCAAAAGACAAGACAAACCTGGCTCCTCTTGCACATGTATGATAAAGAGAAGGTTTGTATTAACGCTGCTTCTTCTCAGAGCAAAGATGATTTAAACACTAGTTGTAGCTATTTTTTATTCACTGAAAGTTGCTAGTAATAGCCTTGCGCTTTGCTAATAATTTTTCAATAATTTATAAATCAATTACTTTGTGTTTTAACTAAAATGTGGAATCATTTAGTTTAAAAAACCTAAAATGTGGAATCATTTTAATTGCTTGTAATTAATCTTTTTCTTTTGTTGGTGATCAGTCTCCTGTGTACATTAGGTTTTTATACTTGATCGTATGTCATTTTTATACTTGATCTATGTCAAGCATAAATAGAGCAGGTTAATGTTTTATGTAAATCTGGAGCTTACTGAGGATTTGAGTCATCCTTCATTTCTAAATGTGGAACCCGGTATTATAAATCGTGATTCTCATATTGCTTTAGGTATCTCTGGCTCCATATAAGATGTACAGCCATCTTGCCAAGATGTTAAAATAGCTTTCTCATTAAAATATAAGTGAAACCTGATGTTGATTGTAAAAAACATAAAGTATAACCAGAAGCGAGGCTTGCATCATTACTGAAATCCATTCATTTCATACCTTAAAAACCAACAAAGACTGAATTTCCAATAAGCATCTGGCCATTGTGGTATTGAGTGGGGGTTTCCAGTCATTCATTGTGTTGTTTGGTAGAGCAAATATCTAGCTATTTGCACAGGGCCTTTCTTGTTGATTCATTTAGTTGACATTCAGTTAGGTTTTGCTGACTTTTTTGTGTGCACTTCAACATTTGAGCATTACCAACTTCCTGACCCAAATTACTCAATAGCTCTTAAGAGAATCACTTGACATAGGGTGTTACCTTTATGATAAAAATACTTCTAGAGAACCATATAATTAAAAGCAGAGTTTCATAAGGGCAAAAGTGTTCACAGAATACAATACTTTAAAAAGATTAGTTGCAGAATGCGTATTTGATTGTAAGTATCTAGCTTGTTTGCACTTCTGTTTTTAAGTTTTTCCTGTGAAAGTCTTTTATCAACCTTTCAGAATCGGTGTATGCTCTTTAAAACTACCTAGAAATTGTTTTACGGGCAGAATGATGTTTTAGCTTTTTACGTGTTTACTTTGAGTTTTGTGTTGAAATATACTGGGAAATAATTAACTTCAAGTAGTATTTGTTTTATGTATCAAAACACAGCTTAACTTTGTCTTGTCTTAATCTGCTGAAAGTGCAATGATTCATAGAAGCATAGAATCATAGAATAGTTAGGGTTGGAAAGGACCTTAAGATCATCCAGTTCCAACCCCCCTGCCATGGGCAGGGAGACCTCACACTAAACCATGTCACCCAAGGCTCTGTCCAACCTGGCCTTGAACACCACCAGGGATGGAGCATTCACAACCTCCCTGGGCAACCCATTGCAGTGCCTCACCACCCTCACAGTAAAGAACTTCCTCCTTATATCCAATCTAAACTTCCCCTAAGTTTTAACCCGTTACCCCTTGTCCTATCACTACATTCCCTAATGAAGAGTCCCTCCTCAGCATCCCTATAGCCCCCCTTCAGATACTGGAAGGCTGCTATGAGGTCTCCACGCAGCCTTCTCTTCTGCAGGCTGAACAGCCCCAACTTTCTCAGCCTATCTTCATACATAATAATCATTATGTAATGATTAACATCTGCATTCAGATGCAGTATTTAATAGAACTGCTCAAGTGCTTATAATTAAGCAGATGATGAAGTCTCTTTCTTCATCAGGACTATAGGAAGAGCAGACCATATTCTTTTGAATATTTTTTATATGCAGTTGAACTTCCTATCCATGACAGAATAAAATCTGTCAGATATCCATCCAAGCATGACTAAAATACAAAAGGAGACACGCGTTTCTTTCCTTCCTCCATCAGCTTCTTTGATCTCATGGTGTCACTTGGATGCCTACTGAAAATGAGTGAATTGAGTTTCCTGGAGCAATAGGCCTCTTTCTGTGAGAAATAAGTTGAGATTTTAAAGTCCTATGTGACACGAGGGGTTTTCTTAAGTCCCTTTAAAATCCATGTGGTGGTTGGCTGACAGCTTCCATCCCAAGCCTATATACCTACAGTGTATATAGTGGTTCAGGATCCCATCTAAAATAAACACTACATCATTTGTTGATCTTTGTCATCCAGTGCAGCATTTTCAGAGAGGAACTACATCAGCTGTCTTCAGCTTCTGGGCTGCAGGGCCCTGGAGGGGTTTCTGAAGCTTCCTCAGAAGGTGACAAAAAGCCAAGCTTGGCTGCAGTAAGCTGAAGTTCTCTATGCAGATACCTGTGTTTGTTTTGCAAAACCTGTGACCATCTGCAAGTCTAAAAAGCCTGAAGCCTCCAGAGTTACATAGCATAACTTAAAAGTGGTAACTGTTCTTTTCCTGCTACTGTTTTGTAGTGTTTCCCCCCCGCCCCATCCCTGATGACAGTAATTATTTGGGGATATTTCCATGTTAGCTCCAGTGCACATTAGCTGGTTAGAACAGAGGTAAGGTTAGTGTGTGAGAGAGAAAAAGAAACTAGAAAAATGTCAAAGCAGTTTAACCAAAGAGTAATACAATCCCAAAAGCATCACTTCCACTTGCCAGAGCCATGGTGGGAGATCTGGATATCCAATTTCAAGCCAGCCCAAAAGCTGATCTTAGAAGGTGGATTGTGTTTCTTTCTATAAAACCACAGCAAGAGTCCCTGAAATTTCAGGTCTTATACTGCTATATTTGATAATTAAAATTGAATATCATTAATTTTGCTGCCACTTTTGGTGTTCCACCTCTATTGTACGTGCAAGTTAGGAGGAAATCCGATACTATCTTGACTCCTTGGTACTGTATTGTATTACTCAGCTTTTGCTGAGATAAACCTAATACCTGCATTAAAGAAAAAAATCTGACTTTCTGAACACTTGAGCAGTTATCTTTAGGGCAAAATACTAAATGTTTGCTAGGCTTCAGGCAGCCACATGTCTGTCTGCACACTTAGTATTTCTGAGTAGGCTTTTAATTGCCCCCTCAAGCACTTTGCTTAAATGCTACAATAGTAACTGTAATTCCACAGAGTGAGGTATGACTGTACCACAGGGTCTGAGAATAAAAGGTGTAAATTACGTAAATAACTTGGATGAGGTTTGAAACGTAGAAATGTTGCTGAGATTTAAAAACCCTGCACTGAGCATCTGCGTTAAAGGAGCACTGTCCTGCTGAAATTGTATCTGAATTTTTTTTGTCTGTTACTTGGACCAGCTTACTATGAGTAAAAAGGTTGCAAAAATATAGGCATTTTTCGTTATGTTTAAATGCGTTTAATTTGTATATTATAGCAACACTTCATGTATCATCCATTTCAGTGTTAGTCACTGTAAAATTAATTTTTTTGTATCTGTATTGTTTCTTTAATGCAAGAGTGTTTGTGTGAAGAATTAGAAGGTTTTCCGTAGTGTAGAAGCGATGAGGCTGAATGCAGACTTTAGTTTTGATTTATTACTTTGAAGTATCTCTGATTGATGAAGGCACTGTTGGAATATTCTTTCTTCCTCTTCTTTTGGAGTGATAGAAGTTTCAGTGATCAAAGTTACGCTGCCAAATGTTGATGGAGAAATAAGTTGTAAATTAAGTATCTGTTGAAGCTCTGCCTTCTCTGAAATGTTGATACTTTGCAGAATTGAAACAGCCCTCGAATAATGAGTCTCCAGTCCTTTAAATACTTACGTATGTGTTTAACTTGACTCATGTCAAGTTATATGTGTAAAGTTAAACATGGAGGAAAATATTTGCAGCATTAGGTCATTTTAACATCTCCTGATTCACAGCAAAAATATTCTCTTATTGGCTGAAACCTGTTCCACAGATACACAACGTAAAGTTAAGATATGCTTCAGCGTAGATCTGTTCACCTAATGCTTTTGAAAAGAAATTGGTTTGAAATACCGAATAAATAATTCAGAAGTCTTTGCTAGGCTATTGCCAAGATTATTTAACGTAATGTTCACTTAAATTGTATGTTGTACCTAATAAGCTAAAATTTAACCTGTGACTAGTTAATTAGAAAGGGAATGAAATGGGGGTAATGCAACTGGAGATGACTAAACTGCTTTTAATGTTAGGCCAGTTAGTAGAGCCTATCAGTTTTAGTCAGCGTGATTTAAAAATGATTTCCATATGTCTGAATTTCAATTTGGTTTTCAAATCGAATTCTTTTCCTCTGTATGAGCATTCTGTCAAAGTGTTTGATGGTGGGTGGTATCTTATCTCAGCAAACAAATAAGTTTGGGTAGGGGTGAGGGTAATTCTCACAAAATTCCTTCCTCAGACATGTGCATGCAATTCTCACTGAATTTGGTAAGGTTTGTGTACATGTTTCTAAAAGTAGGATTTGGCTAGTAGTTGTTTTTTTTTTCTACCAACAACTCTCAGCCTTGAGCTCATTGTCAGGGGGTGTTTGCATTTGCTGATCAGCATTTCCACATCTGCTTAGAATTTCCTCTCAGATGCTTTGCCCATCTGAGCACATGACTGTCCTCTTGCCACGGTCCATCCCTCCCAGCAGCTTGAGCCTTGGCAAGGAAAACTTCCACTCAGAGATGGGCATTGGCAGACACAAAAGCCCATGGAGTTTTCTTAATTATCTTTCAGGTGGTGTTTTGACATGATTGTGAATGAGTATTGAGAGAGAAGAAAGTTAAGCAGGTTTTTTTTATTAATTCCTTGATTTTTCTTTAAAGGTTCCAGACAAGTATTTCACCATTTTACTGGATTATCTGCAAGGGCTTCAAGGCAGTGCACGAGACTTAACTGTGCAGAAAGCTGAAGCTTTTATGAAGGAATTTGATGATTCCAATGCAGAAGACCCAAACCTCTTGGACAAGTGTGAGCGCATACGACAAGTTCTACAGCTGCTGTCCTGAGAGTATTTTTGTATCTTAACAGTTGCCTGGCGGAGAGGATAGGTTGTCATATATAGAGACTATAAATTAGTTGTCAAGACATATTTTCTAATAAGAAGCCTAATATGATATGTATTCTAATACTGGGTATTCAGATTTTGTACGCATAAGTTTTTCCAGTTGCACAGATTTATCCTGTTTTGATGTGATAAAATAAAAATAACATATTTGGTCCATAGACGTGTTATTAAAGTAATCTTAAATGCATATCTTTAGAAAAATAAACCTCTCTTTCTCGTTAGTTTTTCTCCATCTCCCCCTGTAATTACTGTTAAATAAGAGGAGCTTTGCAGTTCTTAATAAGAAGAGCAAAGGAACCAACAAAAAGCCTGGAGGGTCTTTTACAATGGCAGCTTTTAAAATGAGCATACAGTACAGTGTTTGCTCAGCCAGCTGTAATCTATCACTTTCAGCTTTAGAAGTATGTCATTTGGATTTGGGAAAGATCATTTTCAGTCTGTTGAACATGGGTTGTATAACACAGTTGCTTATTAGTACTTCACACGGTGATCTGGGGATACCATCAGCTTTGTTAGTTTTCCTTTTATATTTTGAAGTTTTCAAATGCATTATGGCAATTGTTTAGATATTCAGATAATGCACAGATGGGAACAGACCAAATCCTTTGACTCTACGTAGTGAAGTCATCTGATTGTACCAACCCTATGATGAGAAGTGCTGTGCTGCAACATTTTGTAGCTAGCCTGCCAGTATTGCATTTTCATCTTTCTCTTTTAACTGGCGTCCAAAAGAGTTAATTTGTGTTCATTCACTTTGATGTGAGACATTTGTCTCCTGTGAACATGCTGAAAATACGAGGCTTTCAAGTAGAAAACAAGGACATTAATTACTCAAACGTTGGATGATTGGCTTATTTAATAACACTTGTATTCAGTCACTGTTCTTGACCTGATTCTTTCATGTTTCTGCAAACATTGTTCATACTTTATTCATAACAACTATATGAAAAGTGTAGTGTTTAAGAAGAGTGGCTGTCTTTGGGAATTACAGCTTTAATTTGGGTATGTGGAGGAGGGGAGGATCTATGGATATGTGGGCCTAATTTTTCAATAAGAAGCATTTGAGTGGATTTGACAGCCTTTACAGTCATGGCTTAGTTGCAAATCTTCAGAAATATGAAATATATTACTAGTTACAAATAACTTACGCTTTCTGACTTCTTGAAGGTGATGTTTTCAGCAAAAAAAAGACTAGGGACCAGCATGCCCTGCTCTAACACAATAGCCAGCATGGAGTGAGCAGAACTCAGCAGCAGTGACCAGCCTCTCCGCTGAGCTGCCGATCCCTCAGCAGCAGCTCAGGTATTGTTCAGTTACCATGGGACAGTGATTGGTTGGGGACTGCCGAGGATGCAGCAAAGACCTAGAGCTTTTAGAGGCCCAGAGCTGTATAAAATTGACTTTGCAGTTTAAAAGTTGGTGAAAAGGACCTGTAATAAAGAGAAGCGATACTGACATTTAGCGAACTTGTGAATGATTATTGGACTTGTGTTTTATGTCTGAGAACATGCATCTGGGAAAAACTACTGCCACTCCAAACATGAGCTGATACGTTTATTTTCCATCATGAAAACCAGGAATTTCTCACAGATTATGTTTTCAAAGTTTCTTTTTTTTCAGCTTAAATGATGTCAGAGAATTTGTGTTCTCCTTAGATTTGAAAATCGACACTTTTGGTTTCTCAAGTCACACAAAAATGTGGGTCCTCATAGTGCACTTAATGTACCTCGTAGCTGAAAAGCCCAAGGAAGTTACAACTGTATTTTGCACTGTATTTTAGAGGAGACTTGTAAAAAAAGATTGTAAAGGTAAGCTCCAGGCAAAAAGATGTGAATCTTTTATGATTTTGGCAGGTTTGGCAAGATTCGCCTTTCTCGGACCTTGGTTTCGATTATGTGCAAGCATTGACAAATCTGTGAGAAGAGAGGCTTTGTAGATTAAGAACATCATATTTCTTTTTATTGCAATCAATATTAGAAACATATAAGGCCTGCCAGTCTGGAGTCTGTGTGAGCAATAGCATTTGGAAAAGAGCAGTTAGAGCCTCTTACCAGTGCAGTAATAGACCTCTGTGAATGAGGTCCTGCTTTGCTCTCCTTCAGCTGCAGTTCCAACTTTTCCTTTGGTGCTACAGATTCCTGGGTGAAGGACATGGTCTCTGGCCTCTGCTTCTTGCAGCTATGGAAAATTCAGAAGTTAAAAACTAAGGTAATGGTTGCTACGTTTGGTTTTGGTAGAGAAAGCAAAGTATGATGTTCTTTGCCACATGTCTCTTGGAGTATGGTGCGGTTCAGTGGTCAGTGGTGTCTGGAAATTGGGTGAAAGGCTTGTAAAACTTCTGCTTTGCATTGTTACTATGCATGTCTTGGGTTTCAGAACTCAATATGAAATATTTTAAGTGTTGTCTTATACTTGATGTCGTAGTGCAAATAAGAAATACCACTTAATTGCATTTCGTTTTTTTTACTTTGCCCCATTTCTTAAAGACTCTTCAACTGATTGGCAAACAAGTCATCATCAAAACACCCATGAAATGCAAAAAACCGTTTTTGGAATACGTATTTTTAGGCCCATTTTTGGAATACGTATTTTTAGGCCCATTTTAAAGACAAGATTGTGAGCACCCAGACAGATTACCCAACACAGCATGCAAATACAGTAACATCTCTGGCAATCAAATTCTGTTTTTCCCATGTGCTCACCACCAGGCCAGCTTCTGCTTCCTGCTCAGCTCGGCATTTTAATGTAGGAATTTACATTACATGATAAGTAAGTATAGCAAGGTTTCCTCCATCATGTATTTTAAATTATTAAGTTTATAATCAGTTATTGAATTCCTGTAGCTGATCAAAGCTGCATAAGAAGATATAATCTGGCACTTCATTCACTTTGTCGTTTGGTCATGTGGAATTCTCAGATCTTAACACCACTTGTAGCTTAGGCAATCGTGTGGATAAAGATAGGACAAAACCATGCCTCTCCCTCCGTTTAAATCAGTCTACTGTGTTAATAAAAATTGCATCCAAAGCTAGAAGTAACAGTGTGTACAGACTGACAAATTGCATCTTCATCTGCCCACTCTAATTGTCTTCTAGTTGAGTTAATCTGTATTGTGTAGCTCTGGCTAGAAGAATTCATATCCTAAGAGAACGCTGAAGTCAGGACTTCTAGACAAAATAAAAGAACATTAATTACTTAGAATTGCTTAAAGCTGGAGCTGTGCCTCTAATGGAAGTACTAATTACTCAAAAATTGGCAATGTAGAAAGTTCCCTTTGATTTGGCTGATCCTTGCTATGGATTGTGCATCTTCTTGGTTCTCCACTGTCTGCACCCAATTTTAATTTGTTATCATGGTTGTAAAATTACTGGGTAAATGAATTCTCTGTTCTTATTTGGAAAGGGTGTGTCGTGGCTGTTGAATGTGTAGTTTATTTCCTTATTTCCTCTCGCTGGAGAATAGCTCTGGTGTGCTTCTGTTGATTTTAAAGCAAGGTGACTCCTGAGTGATCCCCTGTAATTTCCAATAGCTTAGAAATGCGCTTCAGTTTGAGCTTAGGGTTTGTTTTTTTTGGGTTTTCTTCACTTTTGCCACTGAGTAAGGCAAAGTAATGAACGTTAAAATCTACTCACGTATCTGCAATTCCGTGTCAGAAAAACAATCAGGAAAGAGATTTAAGTTACAAAGTCAAGCGCTCAGAAAATTGGGAAACATAAGAATGGAAATTGTCTGTGTAATTTCAATTTTACTCCTTCACGCCTGTATGGTATGATGCAACCTCTAATTATGCCATTTTCCATCGTGTGTGACTGATAAGTCATTTATCCAGTGTTTTTCTTGCAGTTCTGCTGCAATTCTCAATTTTGAAATTTAGATCTACAAAGTAATAGTAAAGCTTAGAGAAACAGCTTTGCTGTGTGGGTTTGATCCTGCACAGGAGAAACAAGCAGGAACTTTCCTATTCATTTGGTATAGGAACTAGTCATAGATGTTTCATCACAAATGTGCCTTTTAAAACCTGTCTTAATGTTCTGGTTCATTTACAGTCAAAATACTGCATTGATGTTGCTTAATTTACATCCCGTTTTGTTGACATAAGGCTTTCCAGTGGCTTATTCTGCTTTAGCCTTTGGTTTCCTTTTATGTCTTCCTTTCTGTACAGCTGAATGAGCTAGTTATTTCTGTCCCTGCAAATAGGAATATTAGTTGTTTACAGTGATTCCAGTCATACAAGGATACAATTAAATGTCCTTGCCTTTGCAGGACAAGCTCATTTTAGCAGTGATTTATAATTACATTCTATTCTAAATTCTTCGTAAGAACATACATAGTCAACAACTTAATATGGTCAAAAATAATGAGTTTATTCAAAATACGTTTGTTTTCCCCTCCAAGGAGCAGGGAATACCAAACTAAATAAAACCACTGAGTAAATGGTGGGGGAAGGGCAAAGCAAAACAGTGGTTTATCTTTCTTTGTCAAAACAAAGCTGAATAAGAAGCTTGTGCTACTAAGAAAGTTTGACTGGTGCTATAGACACAGAGGGAGGGCCCTTCAGTTAGAAACAGAACAACAGTCACACAGTTGCTCTTACTGATTTTTCTTTTTCCCCTACATGCAGAATTTTTGGCATTCCCCAACAAAACCCACGAAAACACCTACGTCCAAAAGTTAAATAGGTTTCAAAATCAAATACTTAAAAGGCCAAGAAATGCCACATGTATATACATGGCCAGAAGAATTCAGCTTCTACCTCTCTGTGCCTCTGGCCTGGAGACTGTATGAAGGGGGATTGTGTTCGAAGTAAACAAGCGAGAGCCCCTAAACTATGTGAGCGCATAGTTGAAGTTGCCAAGTAACTTTTCTTCATAGGAAGGTGGAATTACATTTCCCATTAGCTTTAGTTATTCAGATATTTTGAAGAAGGTTTGCTTCTAATTGAAATATCATGTAGACTTTTGCAGTGACAATTTGACAATTCTCCTCGTGGTCCCACGTGCGTTTTATAGAATTCCAAGCCATGGGACACAGGATCTGTCACTCTCATTTGCTTATAAATAGCTCAGTCTAGCTACAGCACTGTGAAAATCACCCTTTGCTGTTGAATTCCTTTGGACCCAAAGGAGCATGTTGACACAGTTTCCATGTACTGGTCTAGAGGTACAACAGGCTTTGGCAGCATCCTTTGTATCACCCAGGCTTTCTTAAGCTCCATGAAATTGCCAGACTCCAGTACAGTGATGCTGCTTATGGAATTTACAAGCGAGCAGCAGTGTTTGTGGAGCACTTTGAGATGTGAGGCCTCAGGATCTCGGCTGTTCAGGATGCTCAGCCCACAGCTTTTGCCTTCTGTGGCCTTGCCACCAGTTTTCAGTCTTGAGCTGCTGAGAGGTGCAACCGTTTTTTTTGTCCACTTGGGCTTAATTTGACTAAACAAACCATTTTAAAGCTGTTTTGGTGTATTGAAAACTTAAGCTGCACTGATAGTGTTTCTCTGGTAGCATAGATACACGTAAATAGGTATTACGGATTTCACAAAGAGAGTACCCTTTATTAGAAGCAGAAGCTCTTGCAGTATCCTGGAAATAACTGTCCAGTACCCTGATTTACCTTGTTAAATAAGACTGGTATATCCGTGATCTGTCACAAATACAGGCTAACAGATAGACACGGCGACAGAGAGCCAAGAAACCATGTATGGGCATCAAACATACCAGAGGGCAAGGATGACAGTGGGGAATGTAACCTCATGAAGTTGCCTGGTTAAGGCAAAATGCCACCTGGCACAAATCCCGGCTGCCATAAGGTTAAAAATAACAAATGCTATCCCTATTACATAAGGAAATCTTTCGTCCTTGTTTAATGGGGCACTGAGATAAGCCAGAAAGAATAAATACAGGGAGTCTCTGAACTCTTACTTGTGGTGTTAGTGCTTAGGGACGAAAGACTGAAAATACCAGGCTTGACTGTAAGCAGGGCTCTGTGCATAAACTGTTGGCATTAAACAGGTGAAATCTGGGTGAAATTCCAGCATCTAAGCATGCTCAGCAGCAGCAGCATCAAACCAGTTCACTTCACTGGTGACATCTCAGCCCAGGAAGGCCTTCTAGTGCATCACTCTTTGTGATGATCATGTTACTATAACATAAATACAGAGTATCTGTGTGTTCACAGCAGCCTGTAAACCCTGTGGATGGCTGCAATCCATTGCCCGTGTTCTGCTGCTGATTGCAGTCCAATAGGGGATGGAGAAGCTGTTGAAGTCATTGTGGGTGAATTTGATACTCGCCCCAGAAGTGTGATCTGTTCTCATCCCATCCCACTTCCAGTTGCATGAAGGAAACACCTGGCTACAGCAGTTTGAAGGGTAAATTCAATGAAGGTACAGTGAGATGCTGCTCATGTCCTTGTAGGGGGCCCACACCTCAAATGAATTCAGTCCGTGACAGATATTT